CTCAATCTGGGAGGAGGGGACTGGACCTGCCTGGACTGAGTCTATCAGGTCGATCCCAGTCCTCGGGGGAGACCTTGATCTGGAGGAGGTGGGAATGGGAGGTGTGCTGGGGGGAAGGGGAGGGGGCAGGAAGGGAGAGAACAAGGGAATCTGTGGCTATTATGAAAAACTGAATAGTATTGTAAAATAAATAATAAAAAATATTTAGTACATCAATGTACTAAATATAGAAAGTAAAATAAAAAAAAAGATAGTAAATCTATCCACTTGAAAAATGGTGGCTAGATGGACCTCCCTACCTCTCTCCTGCCCTCAGTATACAGTAGGGATGCCTAAACACTCATGGTTTTTGTGGCACTGGTCCTATTAGTTGGTGCTGGAGTCAGTCTGGGTGCTCATCAGCAGATGTGTGGCAGAAGAAAAATGTCTGTATTCTTTAGCCATAAAGAAGAACAAAATCTTAAAATCCTGTCATTTGCAGAAAATGGACAGAACTGCATATCATGATGCTAAGTGATAAATGAGCCATATTTGTAAGTCAAATACTATGTTTTTTCTCTTTTGCAGTATCATGTGTGTGTGCTGCAGGGGATCAGACCTAGGGCCTTGGCCATCCAAGGCAAAAACTCTACCATTGACCAGTGCTTTCTGCTCTCATATGCAGAACCTAGATTTAAAAAAAAAAAAAAAGACATGAAAATAAGGGATCCTATTTGTTGTGGGGGAGACAGCAAAGGCTGAAGGAGGACTGAGAATCAAAGTCAATGAATATGTGTTTAAACATAGGATGAAACCTTATATTTCGTATAAGGAATATATGCTAACAATAAAATAAATAGTCACAATTGATTTCTTATTCATCAAAATAAAGTATACAACATTTAAAAATTTATATTCATAATTTATGCTTAAAATACTTATTTTTCATATTCAATATTTGTTTAATCCTCACTGTTATCCCTAAACTATACATTATAGACTTTGTCTTATTCATTTTTGTGACACTAATGCCTAATGGTAACTATCAGTTTTCATTGGGTCAGTAAAGAACTCATTGATAAATTAAAGTACTTACCATCCATTGGTAAAGCTTTCATTAATACATTGCTTTCTTTTAGGTGGAGTCTTAACCCAATGTTTTTAAGAACATTGTCCATGTCATTATAGTCGATTTCTTCCCCTACATAAAGAAATTGATAGTAAAATTGTTAAACTACAAATTTAAGTAATAACACAATCACAAATGTCTATGTAGCATTATAAAATATAAAATCTGAAAAAACAATAACAAGGGTCAGAGAGATGGTTCAGCAGTTAAGAGTACTGGGTGTTCTTCTATAGGACCCATGTTTAATTCCCAGTACCTACATGATGGCTCACAACCATCTGTAACTCCAAGGTCCTCTTCTGACCTCCATGGGACACACACATGGTACGCAGACATACATGCAGGCAGTACACCCATATGCATAAAATAAAAATAATTTCAAAAAATATTTTAATAACCAACAACAGAAATACTGAAGGGTAGTTTCCGGAGGGTGACAGAAATGTCATTCTTTCTGGTCAAGGCAGCTCTTCAATTTGGGGAATAAAAACAAGCACACGGGAAGCTGGTGTTTCTGTAATAGCCCACTAAATGAGCTGGTGTCAATCATTCTGCCTGTACCTAATATTTACTTTATTCTCATTTTTGCCTGAACTATGACCTTGTTCACAGATGTCACAGGTATAAATCTGTCATATCATTTTACTATTAAAACAGTAGAAAAAGAGGGCATGTTGCTAGCTATGTATGGTGGCTTATACCTTGCTTAACCCCAGTGTATAGGAGGCTGAGGTAGGAAGCAGGCTGTAAGTTTGAGAACAGCCTGGGCTGTGTAGTGAGTTTGGGGCAGCCTAGGTTCTGGTAAGACTCTACCTTTTAAAACAAAAAGCCCAAACAAAATATTTTGTTTTGCTTAAACAAAATAAAACAAAAATAAAACACACACACATACACACACACACACACACACACACACACACACACACACACACACACACAAAACAAATAAAGAAAAATTATATTACTGAGAAACTTCAAAGAATATGGGTTTGCTGTTGGGGAATTCTTCCACAGGCTTTACAATAAGATCTAGGCCAGACATGGTGGCCTTTAATTGAAGGACTAAGGAGACAGAGGCAGGGGGATCTCTAGGAGCTTGAGAATGGCCATCTTGGTCTACAGAGTGAGTTTCAAGCCAGCCACAGCTATAGAGTAAGACTGTGTCTCAAAATAAAACAAAGTTGATGTAAATAAATGATTCTAGCAAAGATGTCTCTATATAAATCAGGCCACTTAAGTTGTGATTACCAGCACAAATAGGATGATATGATTACTTTGACAAGATAACAGAAAATACTTTTAAAAACTTGTTTTATATATAGCTGGGTGTGGTGGCTATATATATTTTAATCCCAGCACTCAGGAAGCAGAGGTAGCCAGATCTCTGTGAGTTTGAGGCCAGCCTGGTCTACAAAAATGAGTTACAGGACAGCCAGAGCTACACAGAGAAACCCTGTCTTGAAAAACCAAAAACAAAAAAAAATTTGTTTTCTATATTAAGAGATCCATTTTCAAATTAGTTTTACTTACTAATTATTATTGTATGCACACATGTGTGTGCCACAGCATGGGTATGGGAGTCAAAGGACCACTTTGTGGAGGTAATTCTCTCCTTTTACCATGGGTTCACATTGTCAGGCTTCTGTGGCAGTGCCTTTAATGTTAAACCACCTTATTGGCCCTGTGTGCTTTTGAAATGGTATTTATTTCTCTAGATAGCCCAGGTTAGTCTCAAAGTCACAAGAAACCTCCCTCCTGAACCCTGGGATTAGAGGCATGTGCTAGCACACCAGGAAAGAGATCATTTTGACATTGTTTTCCCATTATTTCTTCTCACTCACCTAAAACGGCATCAACTTCTTTCAGGAGCAAATCCATGCGGACACTCCTTTCGCCTGGAATACAAGACAGTCCTTAGGTAAAGCCTTGCTGGGGGCTGAGTGACGGTTCCTCCAACTGTGGACACTGGAGCCCTAGTCCCTCATGTGTCTGTATTTGGAAATGTGCTCTTTGGATGAAAATTAAAGTTTGAATAAAATTATGAGGTGAAGCCTGATTGGGGAAGCTGTGGCTTGTAAGGAGTGTAAAGAACGGCCTCTTTCCAGCTCCCTTGGTTAGGTGTGAATACCGTGGGACAGCAACTGTTGGAGCCTGGGAATACAGTCGGAATACAGTCCTCCCAGAAGCCACACATTCCAGCCTTCGACTTGGAGCTTTCAGACTCCAGTACTATGACAGAAGACATTTTGTTCTTTAAGCCCCCCAGTTGGTGCCATATTGTTATGACAGCTGGAATAGACTCATATAGGCTCCAGTTAAATAAAATTCTTAATTGTGAGGGTTCAACAATTGAACAATGGCCTAGAATTTTTTTCTAACTAGACATTTTACTTTTATTGTCTACATAAGCATAAAGTTGAGGAAAAAGCAAAAGAATGTAAATATGATAAACATATTCACTACACCCAGTCATGCTTCCTGACGTCTGTTCCTCAATCATTAGTAAGGACAGTGGGGGAAAGAGGAAATTATAATGTTTTAGCTTTTCATGAATCAAGTATTCATCGGATGTCCACCATATCCAGGCCCCTTTTTAGTGCTGAGAATACAAGAGCTGACAAAATGTCTGCTCCCGTGATGGCAGGAGCTAATGCCCAGAACCATTTGGAACTCCAGTTTCAAGGAATCCAACCTCCTCTTTTGGCCTCTGCAGGTACCAGGATGTGCATGGTGCCTATAGCAGTCACCAGGTTACAAAGGATTTTAGACCCAGCAGAGAGTACTTCATGAAACATAGAAATGTATTTCCTCCTAATTAAAAAAAATATTTTAAGTATCTCCTCAGCTGTTCTTCAGACACCTTTGCTTAAGTGCTCTACCTTTGACTACAGTTTTGAAACGAGGCTTCTATCACCCTTTGCAGACCTTTGGCAAAATTTACTAATATTTATGTTATGACATTTTTTTTTTTAAGATTTATTTACTTATTATGTATACAGTGTTCTGTCTGCATGTATGTCTGCAGGCCAGAAGAGGGCACCAGATCTCATTATAGATGGTTGTGATCCACCATGTGGTTGCTGGGAATTGAACTCAGGTCCTCTGGAAGAGCAGGCAGTGCGCTTAACCCCTGAGCCATCTCTCCAGCCCCTATGTTATGACATTTAATCAGCATGATCTCTAGATCTTTAGAGTAAGGCAATATTCCAACATAACTTTCCATAATCTTGCTTGGCTCCTGTGTTACACAGAGTCTTGAACAAAAGGATTAGAGGCTGGTTAAGAAAATAAGGTGGTCATTCTTTGGTGAGCAGCAAGTCTTATGATTTGAAGCATGATTAGATTGCATTAGTAGATGAGCATTTTGGGATGTTCATCAAACTGCTACCAGTCCTCAACATTATTTCACTATGCCAACGATGCTTACCATGCTCAGAATTAACAATGTTTAACTTGTTTTTTACTAAAGATGATGAAAAAAACTACTAACCCCCAACACATATTTCAGGATGTCTTTCTTTTCTAAGTTTTTTTTTTTTTTTTTTTTTTTTTTTAAAGAACTGTAACAAGATTATTTATTTTTAACAAAAACTCATGAGCTCTACAGATCCACTTGAACACAATTCAGAGAGGGTGATTCTTTGGATCTAAAGTTTGATATCTACGAATTTACTAAATGTAATTGTTAGGTGTGTAGTTATAGTGTGGCTTATTTTTCTTTGCTATCCTGGAGTGGATATTTTCTTGTCATGTAGCCATGGCAATTAAATACCAAAAATAATACTATGACAGCTAGGTCTGTGGTAATGGAGCTATTAACACTCCTTGGTCAAAGGAGAGGACCACAGGGTCTCACCTGGGATTCCAGCCATGATTTCTGTGGTGGTTTGAATAAGAATGGCCCCAGTCGCCTCATATACTTGAATGCTTAGTCATCAGGAAGTAAAATTGTTTGATAGGATTAGAAAGGCTAGGAGGTGTGGTCATGTTGGAGGAAGTATGTCACTGGGGTGGGGGTGGAGGGGTGGGGAGTGGGGGGGGGTGGGCTTTGAGGTTTCAAAAGTCCATGCTAGGCCCAGTCTCCCTCCCTGCTACCTGTGTATCAGGAAGTAAAGTTCTTAGCTCCGGGGCCATGTCTGCCTGCCTGCCACCATGCTCTCCACTATGATGATCATGGACTAGCCCTCCTAAACTGTAAACAAGTCCCCAATTAAATGCTTTCTTTTATAAGAGTTGCTATGGTCATAGTGTCTCTTCACAGCAGCAGAACACTGACTAAGACAACTCCCTTTTGTCTCCTTCCCATGCTCTACTGCAAGTGATCTTGGGAGATGCTGGACTCTACAAGAAGTAGAAGGCTGACTGAAGTGAAACTCCACGATGCAGCCTCTATGAAGCTGTCCTCCACGGGGAAATAGGACTTTGCAGTGTTTTTGTAGCTGTTCACCCATACTCCTATAATAATCCCTCTCCCAAGTTCTGCAAGTATCCCCATAGACTCACTGGCTCACCAAGGACTCAGGAGGAATCATTTCTTTGGTTAGTTGTTGGTGCCCTGTATGGAGTGAGCAGACATGTGTGTATCCTCCAGGGAAGTTCACAAAGTATTATTTTATAATATTACAGATAATATTTAATAATCTCTATTACCTTCCTCCCCCTCTTTTTTTTTTCTTCTTGTTTTTTGAGACAGGGTCTCACTATGTAGCCCTGGCTGTCCTGGAACTCACTCGGTAGTCCAGGCTGGCCACCAACTCACAGAGATCCACCCGCCTCTGCCTCCAGGATGCTGGGATTAAAGGCACGCCTGGTTACCACTTTCTTTTTCTCTCTTCTTCATCGCTGTTTGTCTTCTTGCCTTTCACTTCCCTCATCTCAAATACTCTTTAAACACCCTTTTCCATCTATCTATCTACCTGCCTGCGGTCGGCGGGAGAGGCAGTGTGAGCACTCCATGGGCAGGAGGTCAGTGGACAGCTCTAGAAGGTCCACGCTCTCCTTCCATCACATGGGGCCTCGGGACCAAACTCAGTCCTCAGCCTTGGCAGCACGAGCCTCTACCCACCAAACCATCTTGCCATCCTTCAAATATTCCTTTTAAGAAACTTTTTGACTTGATTCTAGTATTGACTATGATCTCTCTGTGGTACTCTCTGACATAGGAACTCTGGTAGAAGCAATGAGGGCCAATTAATTTGGTAGATGAGCTAGTATCAAATTAATACTAAGAGACAGTCTTTTCCCCTGGACTTTAGGGCTGGGTCTGTGCTTCTGAATTTCTCTAGGAAATCAACAAGAATACTTGAAATGTTTCTATAGAGAAAGAAAATTCTTTTTTTTCAAGGTCTGATGATCTTTTTGTTGTTGTTGTTACTCTTAAAGACTGATTTATAACTGGAATCAGAAATAGAATTTCTTAGCGAGGACAGCCTGTTTCTTGGCAGTGTGTTCCTGGTGTTTTTCTTTGGCTTCCTTCATTCTCTTGGTCAAAAGTTTACTATATTCTGAAGCTTCCTCCTTGTTTTTTTTGTGTGTTGTTTTTTTTAGAGCACTACACTGGCATTTGTGTCGCAGGACACATGGAGGGATGGGACACTGAGTCTTGGTCACTTTGGTCCTGGACTGTCTACCTTCTCTGTTTAAGGGCTTTCTGACTGCATTACTGGTGGACATCATCTTCTTCAGAGAGTTTGAAAGCTTTTAGATTCTGCTATCTCTGTTGGACCCCAGCTGCTGAGACACGCTAATATTTGTCAGTTCAGAAATAAATATCCTTTTCTCTGTCTCTCTGTCTCTCTCTCTCTCAACAATAACCAAGTTGAGAACACTGAAATTGGCATCCACAATGCATCCATGAAAAGACTTGGCTTCCTCTCTCAGTTCTCCTTGGTCTATAACAGGAATGCCCCTTACGGAACAGCAGACACACTCTACCAGGGGTCTTTGCCTCATGTGGAAACTTTGTTTGTCATCCTCACCACTGATTCAGACCACACAACGCTTCCACTTTCCACCTGGAGCATCAGCAGCTACTTCTGTGGCCATGTGCTTCTCATGGAAAGTACAAAGCTTGAGTTCATCTGCTTCACTGAGTTTCTGACAGCCAGTGACTGGGAAGGAGACATTCAGCTTCATTTTGATGCAGCCTACCACCTAGAAATGCTATAAAAAAGGAGCTGAAATTCTTTTTATGAAGCACCGTGTGTTTGAAATACTCACGATTAACTGGCAGATTTTTAGACAACTCCTCTATCTCCTCTTCCTCAAGAGGATATCCCAGGTGTTCAAGAGCATCATCGATTTTATCAATATCGACTTTTCCACCTTAAGAAAAAAGAATAGAAGAAATTTGGTTTTATGCCAAAAGGAAAAAAATGATTACCCATACCCATCAGCCCATACAATTAGGAGATGAAAAGTCCCAGCACCATACAGTCCTTGAGGTGATAAAATAAATCAGGAATTTGGGAGAGGAATGGTCTTTCCTATTCATGTTCTAGAGAGCACTGTCACAACTGTCCTTAGAAGGAGTTTACAGAAGAGAAAATCAGGCACGGCTTACTATTACAGCAGTTGACAACTCACCAACAATTTCTTACAGTAGAAAAAGATTGAAAATTGCTACAGATTGATGATTACCCCAACTGTTGATAGACAGGTGTTCTAGTGCTTACATCACACAATATGGCAACACAATTAGTAATGTAACCAGAGAATGAAGGGATTTGTAGTTCTTTTTCCCCTTTTAGAACACTGTGCACTCACTTCTGAGAGTCCGCAGTATGTCCATTAACACATTTTTGTACACCATGTTGTCATCTGTAAGGTAAAGGTCACATTAATAGAGGAAGTAGAAAGCCAGGAAGTCCTGTTCATGAATGTTATTAGTCATATTCAAGGAATTTACTGGGACTCACAAGGCTGACTATTCTGTGGTATGTGATATACTGCAGGTAGAACTTCAACACATTGAAACGCGGGTTGTTTTATGGTTCTCTGAGGTTCCCCTCCTTTCCACTACAGAGATCTTCTGGCTATCACCTTTTCTGACTTTTGCTTTGGGCATGTTACAGATATTTGGTCCAATATTTAAAATTGTTTATCATAATTACCAATTCCCCCACACACACACACCAAACAATATTACCTTTTAATTTAGCACTTGAATATTGAAGAAAGGATATTTTGTCAAAATTGGCTCTTTTAATTTTCAATGAGCTGTTAAGTAACGATGCTTATATAACTTTAAATATACAGCTCAAGCCCAGGAAGGAGTACTGTAACTAATGGTGAGGTCTGAACTACTTACTATCTACTGGAAGTGTGTTCTGTATCAGCTGGCTTTCACTGTCTGTTAATTCAATGCCCAAGCTTTCCAGATATGGTTGTATATCCTCGGCATTTATTTTAACACCTTTAAGAGATGAGAGACATAATAAATGAGCATTTTCATATAGAATGATTCTCCATTAAGGAAATGATAATACATAATTGTAAGAGATACAGTAGCAGAGAGCTGAGGACACAATGAGGCCTATCTCTCTGCAGAGCATCACAGGAAAGCGCTAAAGCAAAGCATGTTTCCTGTACCAGTGAAAGGAGGGAAGAACAAGTAAAGAGGAGGAAGACTTTGGCCAGGGGTGGCAGAAAAGGGAGGTGGCATGGGAAGGCACAAGAGCACAGCAGTAAACAGTAGACAGAGACCAGGGAAAAGTTGGGACATGTTAAAATTAAGATTAAAAAAATAAGCAATGGATAATAATCTTAAAAAACATGGCTTGATAATGAAGGAACCCCTCGAAGTGGCCTTTAAGCAAAATGGAAAAGAAAGCCATTGTGAGCTGCATGGGTACCCAGTCAGTTACTCCCCAAAGAATAAAAGACAAGACAGATCTACCATCCATGCAGAAGGGAGATGCCAGAGACTGGGAGGGGCGGGTTATGTGAGGCAGTCAGAGCTGAAGCCCCTGCAGTTTTATGTCTCCAATTCCTGAAGGTCGTCCTCACCTCTTTGGCTAAGCTAGTGACCATTCTGGAAATCAGCCTGGACCCAGGAAACTGGTTGCAACTTGCAAACAGATCCATGGACACAGGTCTACTTTGTGGGCAATGTGAGCCACACTGCAGAGGGTGCTCACAGTGGAAACTGAGGCTCCAACATCTGGAGAGACTGCAAGACCAGACACAGACTACTTGAGGGTGTGTGGGAGCTGGAATGGAGATGAGCAAAGCCAGGTACCTGGAGTCTCTCAATGTCTGTGCCCTGCCCCACCACACAAATTGTTTTGGTTTGATTAATTTCTACATTTTCAATAGTCCTGGGGTGCTTGGCGGGGCTTCAGCAGCTGCACAGGCATCCCCACTCCTGGCAGTGCTGGTAGGGTGTGCCTTGTGAAAGAGGGCATCCAACTGGGTGTTCTTCAGGCTCCTGTCCTAAACAATGATAAATGACCTCAAATAGTACACAAATAAGCAGATGGATGAACTCAAGAAATTCAGGACCTGGAAAAACATCAGCAATATAGATAAGGAAGTTAGCAACATGAATGAGAAAACTCAGCAAGGAAATTAAGATTTTGATAAACAAAACAAAACAAATCAAAACAGAACCAAAAATACTAGACATGAAAAAAATCCTTAATGAATTAAAGAAAAGCACAGTAGAAAAATCACCAATAAACTAGATCAAGCAGAAGAAAGAATATCAGGGGTTGATGACAAGGCTGATCTAATATTACAACTAGATAGCAATAAAGAAAAAAAATAATGACTACTGCTTGTAAGAACTCATGGGATATGATCAAGAGACCAAACCTAAAAATTCCATGGGGTCAAGAAGTAACAGAGATAAAAGTTAAAGTATAGAAATTCTACTCAATGAAATTAAAGCAGGGGGCCAGGGAGATGGGCAAAAGCCTCTGCTCTACAAGACTGATGATCTGAGTTCAGCTCCCAGAAGCCAAGTAATAAAGCTAGATGCAGTGTTGTGCATTCATAATCCCAGCACTCCTACAGTGAGATAGGAAATGGAGAACACACACACACACACACACACACACACACGCACGCACGCACGCACGCACGCACGCACGCACGCATGCACGCACGCATGCACGCACCCTCACCCCCCCAAAGATCTTGATTTTTAAATCTTTCCATCATTACTTCTCACCAGAAAACAAATTGGCTGCATTCGCCAAGGAGCTCAGTGAGAAACGTCCAGCATCTGAAACACAAAGTCAGACACAGACCACACTTTGCTTATTTGCTTGTGAGATTTTCTAAGTTGTCATTGTATTCACAGGAGACATTTGCTATTTTCTGAATGTATCCAATTATGGAACAGAATTTTTGTAGGAGGTGAATTAGCATGCTAAATTGACTCTTCTTCTAGATGGTTACTGGGACCTAAAAGATACTTCTTTTGGTGATAGATAAACTTTTTCCAGGCAGAAATCACTGGCATTCTATTTCTACCCCACCTGACATTTCTACCCCATCTCCTAATTGCTGAACGAAAACATACTGCCTTTTACTGTGTGTTCCATGTCAGACAACTCCACACCCCCTTTTCCCTCCTCACTTGACTTGTCGTTTCTGGCCTTTTCTACCAGCTATCCCAATAACTTCTAAAAATTCCCTGTAATGTTCAATATAAGCTTAGCAATGCCTTTATCAGTCCTCTGTCAATACTGGTAGATAATAGATTAAGAGAATATATATATTATCTATCTATTATATCTAATATATCTATATCCTATCTATCTATCTTCTTTCTTTCTTTCTTTCTTTCTTTCTTTCTTTCTTTCTTTCTTTCTTTCTTTCTTTCTTTCTTCCTTCCTTCCTTCCTTC